AGCCTGATGATTTTTTTTTCTCTTTTTTTCTTTCTCTCTTTTTTTTAAGAGACAAGGTCTCTCTCTGTCACCTAGGCTGCAGTACAGTGGCACGATCATAGTTCACTGTAGCCTCAAACTTCTGGTCCCCAGCAATCCCCCATGCCTCAGCCTCCCAGAGTGCTAGGCTGACAGGTGTAAGCCACCATGCTTGGGCACAACTCACTCTTTAACTATAGTGTTCTACTCATCCTGGTTTCACTAGGACCTTCCTTGAAATAGACAAAAGAAAGAGGATCCATGCACCTCCGTTCTCTCTCCTGTGTTATCATCAGACCAGCTAGCTCTAAAAGGCTCAGCACTTCCAAACTAAGCCATCAAAGCTTGTTTGTTTCTCTCTTTTTTTTTTTTTTTTTTTTTTGAGGCAGAGCTTCAAGCTGTCCCCTGGGTAGAGTTCTGTGGCATCAAAGCTCACAGCAACCTCCAACTTCTGGGCTCAAGCGAGTCTCCTGCCTCAGCCTCTCAAGTAGCTGGAACCACAGGCACCTGCCACAATGCCCACCTATTTTTTGGTTGCAGCCATCATTGTTGTTTGGTGGACCTGGGGCTGGATTTGAACCCTCCACCTTAGGTGTATGTAGCTGGCGCCTTAGCCACTTGAGCTACAGGCACGAAGCCTGTTTCCCTCTTTAATTTTCAGATGCTTCAGTCATCTGAGAATTATTCCTCCTGTGTCATCCCTTTCTTCTCACCCAACCCTGCCACATTCCATCTACTTTTAGAGCAGAAGCCTATTTATTTGTAGATAAAGAAGAAAGTGGGAATAATTCCTTTTCCTCACACCTCAGTTCAATGGTAGGATGTACCCATAGACATTTAGCCTTTCTGGAAATACTTCTTCAAATCTGTTCAATTCCTTTATAGTCAACCCAATTGAAAAAAAAAAAACAGATGGATATTTTGTAAGCTCTTTCACCCACTCCCAAGGCAGAAGATGAACTGCACGCACAGAAGTCAACATGGCCTCTTTAGGAAGGATAATGTGCTATAGATCACAGCAGTCTGATGAGATTTCTTTCCTTTTCTGTACCTCCTAGTCGGAAAGGACTCACACTAGGGTTCTCAAGAAGTTCTGAGTCCTTTGTGGCTTTTCCTGATAACCGTTCTCTGAGCTTTCAGCAGACTTCTTAGTTGAGATTTTTAGAGTCCACCCACTTTGTTCTCAGACAGCCTTATCCAGAGCTAACCAGCCCACAGAGAGACTTCACGATTACCATTTAGCCCACGCCCAACATCTGCGTGGGTAGGACACGGGCTTGAGAACATTCAAACCCCAGAAGCAAGACAATGGATGACCAGCATCCGGGAATCTTTTTAAAAGGACATCTGTCCCTGTAAGCAATCCTGGTACTACTTCTATGTGACAGGAGACAGTCGGAGAGTACAGGTCATTGGGTGAAACTAGGTCAGGGCAGAGAGTCACCATGCAAGCAGCCGCCTGTGCGGCCGTCTGCTCCAGAGCACGCCTTGCACACGTTCACACCTTTCCTTTCTTTACTGAAGGACCTGCAAATTCTCTTCAAGTTTAAAACATGTACAAAATGACTCGCATAATGGGCCAGCTAGATGGCAAAGGTAGGAAAGGAGGAATAAGAGAACTGCAACTCTGTATGGATCCTTATAAATTAATTAATGAACAGGGTAATTCTAATTATTCCCTCCTTATTTGGGGTGAGGGACAGAGGGGGCGTACTATGGTCTGAATGTGTGTGTCCCTCCCACTGAAATGATGGTACTAGAGGGTGGCAGAGCCCTCAGGAAAAGAGGCTGTTTCATGTCTTCCACTGTGTGAGGACCCGGCCAAAAGACTCCATCTGTGAACCTGGAAACAAGCCCTCACTAGACATCAAATATACTGGTGCCTTGATCCTGGCCTTCCAAGCCTCCAGAGCTATGAGGAATACATGTCTGTTGTTAATAAGCCAATTAGTTTATGGTGTTTTGTTACAGCAGCCTGAACCGACCAAGACAGGGCACAAAGTCAATCCAGGCTGCAGGTTTCAGCCAGTTTTGTTCTAAATTCTTAAGCCTTTTTAAAGGTCATATGAACTAAATGTATATTGCAGGTCTTAATTTAAATATATTTTCTTTAAAATTACTGTCTTAATTTACAGCATGAAACATGAAAATTTGAGATGTTTGCATATTCTGTTGTACAGAGTTGGTATTGTGGTATTTCAATATGTTTCAAATGTGGTACTTCCTATGAGCACGGGAGACGTGAAGCACCATGGGTGATCAGTCCCCACAGAGTAGCACTTTATATTCCCAGATAGAACTAATTACCAAGCCTGAGTTCAGAATCACTCTCCCTCAACCTTTGCTCACGTGTTTATTGCTATTTTAATGCTTCACTTGGAACCTCAAACATCATGCCTACAAAGTGAAGTGCCCGAATGGACAAAACCTGCACAAAAAAGACCAACATCTCAGGACTACTGACACCAATTTGCCAATGAATGTCTAGCTTGGGAAACGCTGAAAACCTTGGATTATTTCCCACCTGATCACTGACTATCTTGACATCACGTGTTTTGTTCTCTTCTTTCGGTATAACAAATATCTCCTTTTCAAGATTCTTACTTATAGCTTTATTATCACCTTTTTAGTCTTTTTAAAACCAAATAGTCACTGATGCCAACAGTAATGCATTTAGAAAACACTTAAAGACCATTTATTGTATACCAGGCACCATGCCAGCTAGCTTCTGAGGAGACAAAGAAAAGTAAGATCCCTACCTTCTTCTGGAGTTAGAAATCTAAAGGTGAAGGCAAAACAAATACAGTGGGTCCTTAGGGTTTTCACAGAGGTATGAACAGGGGTTAGGAGCTCAGCAGAGGGGACGGGATGAAGAGGGGTGGCTTCTTGGAGGTGAAAGCTCTGGCAGAATGGCTGACTGAGCAGAAGCTAGTCAGGTGGGGGGTTGAAGGGAAGTCATTGCAGGCACCTTTGGGAAACTATTATAAAAGCATAAGGCACCTGGGGGAATGTGGTGGGGACTGGAGCCAGAAATCTGGGCTTTGCATATCTTTCCCTGAGGAGAAGCTACTTAGTGCTGAAGACAACATGTAAGGATTATGCTCTCTAACGTATCCACTCACTTTCTGATAAGGATAACTTGGCCCAAACCAAGTTTAAATAACATCATTTTTCAAGTTGTCATTGTTGTTACTAATCATTTTAATAAGGAGGTTCCACTTACATCCATAGAGAGTATTACGACCTACAAGAATGTATTTTGCTAGTCATATGACATACATACTTTTTTTGTATTAACTAGAGAACCCCAATAATGCAAAGTTCTGGTATGTTCAATACCAGGGCTATAGGGCTATCACCTTTAACTCTCCTGGAGTGAGTAGAAAGTGGAAAGTGACTCTTCAGTCTCTTAGAGGTAAGTGCTGAGAAAGTCGATTGTGCCTTTGGCCCTTTAGAAAAGGGCATCAATACATTAGAACTGATTTCCATTGAATGGAAAAGTAGCAAAGAAAAGAAAAGGTGGGAAGAGTGTTCTACATGGAATTCCTCGATGCTCAGATACAAAAAGACAAAGACCTGTTTATCCTCTCACTATCAATTCCTCCACTCAACCTCAGCAATAGCACTTCTTTCCTAGGCCAACATCTAAGCCCTTGGGCCACTGAGAGCATGCACATACTAGTTTGAGTAACAGTAGCCAACTGCATAAAAAGGATTGTATGTCACAACAGCTTTACACTAAAGCTTTCAGACAATGTTTAAGTAGATTAAAGAACAGTAGCTAGAATAGACAGATTCTTAATTTAAAAAATGATGATACGGGAGGTGCCTGTGGCTCAAAGGAGTAAGGTGCCGGCCCCATATGCTGGAAGTGACAGGTTCAAGCCCCGGTCAAAAATTGCAACCCCCCCCCCCAAAACTGATGATATGAATTACGGGATAAAAGATAAAAGTATTTCCTGAAAGATAACCCAAATGATGTTTTACCCATACATTCAATTAAGATCAATACAATAGTGAACCTTGATAAGAAAATTATTAGTTAAGAAAATAAGACTATGATTGAAATAAACATACTTAAGGCCTGGTATATAACACCGCAAGCATAACAATGTAACATCTTTCAGTTGAGTTCAGTTATTTTATCTTTCGAGAAGAAACAATGAACCTATTTTTGAAACTGAATGTTACTTTCTTTAAATGAAAATTTTACCTGATTTAAATAATTTAGGCACTTTTCAAGACACCAAAGGCAACAAATGCAAGATTTCAGCACACATCGTGCACAAGCATTTTCCTGGATGGGAGGGAAAATCGAAATAATTAAAAAACAACAACAAAAATAAACCATCATATAAAAGACTTCAAAACAGAGTTAGAAATCTAAAAATTTAAAAATCCCAACCTATGCTTCAAAGCCTCCACATCACCTATTTCTTCCTTAAGACATAATGGCTGAGTTATTTTTAATCAGTTCAATTCAAAATTTATTTAGCATCTATCATATATAAGATACAATGAGGTATATAAGATTGGCGAGGTATTCATAACCTGGTAGAAGAAAAAAGTGCTGAACAGAAAAAAGGTTAGCATCAGAATAGGGTATAGATACTAAGTGCTAGCAAAGTGGAGAATAGAGAGAGACGATACTATCTGGGAGACAGGAAGGATCAGGAATGGTTTTAGAGAAGAGGTGGTATTTGAGCTAAACTGTGTTGCAATTCATGTTATTTCTATAGCTGAGGACAGGGAAGAGGGGAGTGAGTCAACAGGGAAGAGAACAGAGTAGGATACTTCCAGTAACCAATGATTAGATGGATTTTGTCAGAGCACATGGAGCGCATGAGTGGGAAACCAGGGAAAGGACTGGATTCCCTCTTCACAACTTTTGATTTAATGTTATTGGGTGCGCTCCCGGCATGCAGAAGTGAGGTTTGGAATGTGCCACACAGCCCAGAGAAGCATTTCCCCCTTACCTTTCCTTTGAGCTGACTGTGAATATACATAAGGATCATTCGTGGAATTTTGACTAATGTGATAATGAAAGATCCTTTTGCCACCGTACCAAGGTGGTAACGAATAAGGCGATTCACTGATGCCAAAATAGGTGTAAATGGCAAATTCCTTTTATCCCTGTTTAAAAAATGACCAAAAAGACAATTAAAACAAAGCCTGCACCAAGATGAAAATACTGGTATAGTTTAAAGCCCAACATGGTGAAAAGCGTGTTCATTATCTGTATTTTAGCTTTGTGACAATATGGCAAAGCGGCGTATAAATGGTACAAATGCTGTGGACGCCCCATTTCAAATGTTGTATTTCTCTATGGTAGTTTCATGGGGTTCGGATGCTCTAATATGTCAAATAAAACTATGCTTTGAAAGCTCTTATTAGTGAATTTCTAATACTCAGAAAATGGAAATTTAAAAAGATGTTCAATTTTCTTTTTTTTTTTTGAGACAGAGCCTCAAGCTGTTGCCCTAGGTAGAGTACTGTGGCATCACAGCTCACAGCAACCTCTAACTCCTAGGCTTAATTGATTCTCTTGCTTCAGCCTCCCAAGGAGCTGGGACTATACGTGCCCACCACAATGCTGGACTATTTTTTTGTTGTAGTTGTCATTGTTGTTTGGCAGGCCCGGGCTAGATTCAAACCTACCAGCTCTGATGTATGTGGCTGGCACCTCAGCTGCTTGAGCTACACACACCAAGATGGTCAATCTTTTTTTTTTTTTAGAGACAGAGCCTTACTTTATCACCCTTGGTAGAGTGCCATGGCATCAGAGCTCACAGCAACCTCCAACTTCTGGGCTTAGGCGATTCTTTTGTTTCAGCTTCCTGAGTAGCTGGGACTACAGGCACCTGCCATGGTGCCCGGCTATTTTTTTGTTGCAGTTTGGCTGGGGGCAGGCTTGAACCTGCCACCCTCAGTATATGGGGCTGGTGCCCTACACACTGAGCCACAGGTGCTGCCTAATGTTCAATCTTCTTAAGTGTGCAATCATTATAATAGAAAATTATGAGGTCCATAGCTTTAATACTCATCTCTAAAGTTACCAATGGGGACACACCCTTGTTCCCAAACAAACAAATTAAAAAGCCTTGCTGTCCTCTGAAGGACTTTTATACAAAGCAAAAGTATATATGCCACTGCTATCAGACTTATTTCTGCTAAATACTATATTTTGAGTTATATCTTGATACATTTTTGAGACAATTACAGAAAAGCATAAAGAGTAAAACCTCTCATTTTTCCACCTCCCCAAATTATTAACTATCCATAACTTTTATGTTCGCTTCCAGTTATTTTTTAAAAGGAATGAAACTCTGAGGTCAGCCTCTGTCAAATTCCATTGCCCTCCACTCTGCTGACACAGTCCCTTGGGTGAACGTCCGAATCCTCACCTAGTAAAATAGTATGTTACCACAGCTCCTGCCACAGTCATCTGCTGACACGCTAGAATAAACTCACTGATCCAGATCAGGCCCACCACATGGTACCACCACATGTACTGCAGGGGCCCAGAGATTTTGAACTCCACAAAGCCTTGGTCATTCTGAACAGCACTGCCTAGGAAAATATCAAGGAAGGAAAGAAGCACCACATAAAGTACGAACCAAGAAATACAGCTATTAAATATTAGTCTCGTTTCCCACACTAGGTCCTGACTTCCAAACCACAAACTTTACGACCTTAGTGCTATTTCACTAAGGGATAAAAATAATTACTACTCGAAAAGCTGTAAAACTAAACATTGTATAATTACACATTTTGATTTTCTCAAGGGCATCATATAAAGCTTCTGAAAGTTGTTCTAGTTGGAACGCAGTTCTTCTTTAATTATTAGTTATTTAGTGTAGGCATAAATATTCAAACACTCTGATTTTTTCAAACCTGTTTCTTATTCATTAACTATAGATTTAAATTATTATAAAAGTATAGAAATTAATATTATACACAGTGGATGAGCTGGGCTGAATGGACAGAGACGTTACATACTAGATCACTATCCTTTGCTACTCCTCACAATTAGTTCCATTTAGGTTTAACTTTTTCTTTTTGAGTCAGAGTCTCACTCTGTTGCCCTGAGTAGAATGCCATGGTGTCATAGCTCACAGCAACCTCAAACTCCCGGAATGAAGAGATTCTCTTGCCTTAGCCTCCCAAGTAGCCAGGAACACAGCCACGCGCCACCATGTCCAGTTAGTTTTCTATATTTTTAGTAGAGATGGGGTCTCACTCTTGCTCAAGCAATCCACCTGCCTCGGCCTCCCAGAGTGCTAGGATTACAGGTGTCAGCCACCATGCCCGGCTTCAGAAAGGCTGAGAGTGTAACTATGAACTCTATCAGCACTAGGAGCTTTAGCTAGAATCCAGGCATTTC